CCACAGGGCTGTGGTTTCCAATAGTGTTTTTGTATTGAATTTTTTTTTCTTTCTGACTTTTTCTTTTATAATTTTTAGATTCCATATATAAGAGATCATACATTATTTGTATCTATATTATTTCACTAAGCAATTTGTAGCTGTATTATTTCACTAAGCATAATGCCCTTGAGATGCCACAAATGGCAAGATTTTTATGGCTCTTTTTATGGCTAAGTAACATTCCTCTGTGTATGTGTGTGTGTGTAAGGTAATTTCCTTATCCATTCATCCATCGATGGACACTTAGGTTGTTTACATATCTTGGCTATTATAAATAATGCGTCAGTGAACATGGGAGGACAAATATCTTTTCCAGTTAGTGTTTTTGTTTTCTTTGGATAAATACCCAGAAGTGGGACTGCTGGATCTTATGGTACTTCCCAGATGCTCCTGGTACTTCTATTTTTAATTTTTAAAAGAAACTTCATATTGTTCTTCACTACTAATTGCACCAATTTACATTCCCAGAAACTGTGCACAAGGGTTCCTACTCTTCCACATCCTCACCAACACTTGTTATTTCTTGTCTTTTGATAATAGCTATTCTGAAAACAAAAATAGCTATTCCGACGGGTGTGAGGTAATATCTCGTTACAGTTTTGAGATTTCAGCATCATAATTCTCACCCATATGCTTAAAGGCAGATATCCATAGGACTTGCACAGGAGAAGTGCAGACAGACAAGGTATGACTAAAATAACAGGTGGCAAACAGTGTCTTTTAACAAGAGGAGGTGAGAGGTATAATTCAGTTTTTCTTGAAGACTCAAAAGATGTTTGAGAATTATTCAGTACTGCTGTTTTATCTGCATGACATCCATTCACTGTTGTCTTTTCTGTGTGTACAAGAGCTAAGAAAAGAGATACCTGGCCAGTAAAATGCAGAATCGTAGAGAATATGGCTTCAAACTCAGCTAAAAATTAATACCAAGACAACTGTGAGTTCAAAAACAGAACAGCTTTAAATAGTTGTTTAACTCACTCTACTCTGACATGTTTAAATATTTAAAAATCAAAATCCATTCCGTAGCATAATTTTTTCAACTACAAAAGTGATCACATTATGGTTATGAGACTCTAAATTAATATAACTGGGTGAGCTATCAAGAAAAGAACTAACTTCTTGTGGATTTTTGCTCCCAAGAATCATCACAAAAAAGAAAGTAAGGGGTGATTTTTCCCCAAGACCAGTCAAGTTTTTAGTATTCTAGAATTTGTGGCTCTCCCTCCCGGAGATGCAATTTACAGATTGCTTATTTGCTTGGTGTTTGTTTATTTGATTGGGAGGCTAACCCAAATAAGTCTTTTCTGGAGGAGGACCTTGACTAATTGAGATAATTATCTGGCACTGACATCAGGAGTGGCCAAGAACATACAGGTCACAGTCCCCCTCCCTATTCTTCCTGAGTCCTGGTGAGACCCAAGGGAAAGGAAGAGAACCATTTGCCATTGGCGGGGAGGTGTGGTTGGGAGACTGATATCAAATTTTTGTTGATCTTGGCAGGTGGACGCTCCGAGCCAGATATAACCATGACTTACAAAAATAAGGACACGTGGTTGTTTTATATTTTGAATACTGAGAAGCAATTCCCTCTTACATCTGTAGTTTTTTGTTGTTGTTTTCTGCTCTTGAGCAAAACTCCTATAGGGAGAGCAGTTTCTTTCATCTCCTCCACCTCATTTCCACCCACCTTGGTTTCCCCAGGGTAACTACAGCAGCCGGATGCCCTTACGCTGGTCCCATGGTTCCTAAGTCAACATCTCCCAAAGCCAAGCCTATCACTTGGTGAGCACTCAAAATGCATCGCCCCCCCACCTCCCCAGGTCTGAGGACTGATTGTGCTGACTTCCTAAACGGTTCCATGAGTCTTCTTGTTGTCCTTTGGGAATCTCTAAATTACCACATGACCCAACAATTCCACTACTAGGTACACAACCCGCCCCCCAAATGAAAACATGTTGACCCAAAAGTGTGTATATTAATGTCCACATATATGACAAAACTCCATAGAACTAAACACACACACATACAAATGCATGGGAAAAACTGACAAAACCTAAATAAGGTCCCTGCATCGCATTAATGTCCTTCTCCAGGTTATGCTACTGTACTTAATTATGCATTACAGCCCCCAAATAAAACTAACTCAAATATCCACAAACCGATGAATAAACAAAATATGTAATATTTATCTAATGGAGTATGTTCAGTCATAAAAAGGAAAGAGGTACTGATACGTGCTACAACATGGACAAAACTTGAAAACGTTATGCTGAGGGAAACCAGACACAGAAGGACATATTTTGTGATTACCTTTTCTTTTAAGATTTTATTTGTTTACTTAGAGAGAGAGAAAGAGAGAGAGAGAGCATGAGGAAGGGGGTAGAGGCAGAGGGAGAAACAGACTCTCTGCTGAGCAGGGAGCCTGACCTGGAGCTCTATCCCAGGAGCCTGACCTGGAGCTCTATCCCAGGACCCTGAGATCATGATCTGAGCCAAAGGCAGACTAGACTGTTCACCGACTGAGCCACCCAGGTGCCCCTATGATTACCTTTATAGGAATTATTCAAAACAGGCAAATCCACAGAGATAGAAGTAGATTAGATGTTAACAAGGGCCGGGAGAACAGACACGGAATGACTACTAAGAGGCACTGGGTTTCTTTTTGAAGTGATGGAAATATTCTGGAATTAGATAGTGCTGATGGTTGGGCAATATGGTGATTATACTAATGATCACTGAATTAACACTAAAAAATGGTGAATTTTGTGTTATATGAATTTAAAAGTTTAAGATTCTAATACAGCAAGAAAGAGAGAGAGAGAGAGAGAGAGAGAGAGAGAGAAGAATCCATCAGCCTTGAGCCACAGCTCTCTCCTTCTTGGTGACACAATCTGACATATTACCCTCCAGCTCCAAGGATTTTCTGTCTACCCCCCCGCCCCCCCCCCAGAGGACAGCCCACAGCACTGTCCTTCCTGACCACACAGCATTGTTCTCAACTCCAGCTCTGCTCAGAGTGATGGCTGCTGGCCAAGTTCCCCAGCCCTCTATGGACATGCTGTTCTGGAGCTCGCCAAGGCACTGCCACCTGTATTACCCCTGAAGTGTAGACACTGCATCCCAGGCCTCCAGCCATTCTAGAGTCAATTCAATTTCCTTTAGCCTGAGAATATAGGTCCTGAACTTCGTTTTACAGAAATAAAGATACCATATTGCCACAGGTGGAAGTGTGTCAATCCCCAAAGTCTAACCCCCCAGTACTTTATTGGATATAATGTTTTTACAGAGGTCATCAAGTGAAAATGAGGTTATCTGGATTAGGGTAGGTGGGTCCTAATCCAATAATCATTATAAAAAGGAGAAATTTTGGAGACGGACACACACAGAAGATGGCATGAAGATGCACAGGGAGAAGACAGCCATGTGCCTGGAGTGATGCATCTACTAGCCCAAGAACATCAGGAATTGCCATCAAACACCAGAATCTCGAAGATGCAAGGAAGGATTTGCCCCTAGAGCCTTCCAAGAGAGCGAGGCCCTGCCAACACTCCTGGCCTCCAGAACTGTGAGAGAATCAATTTCTGTTATCTTAAGCCAACTAGTTGTGGTACTTTGTTACAGCAACTCTAGGAAACTAATACACAGAGAAAAGCACAGGGTTGTCGCAGCATGGATGGCACAGATGCCTATGTTTAAAAACAGAACCTGCCAGTGCTACTCATAAATGGAACAAACCACCCATAGGACAACCCGAAGGGATCCCCAGGGGATTAATTACACTGTGAGAAAAAAGTCCACCTCTAAGGGTTACAGACTCTACGGTTCCATTTATAAGCGCTCTTCACATGACAAAATCCTAGAGATGGAGCAAAGATCCCTGGTTGCCAGGGCATGGAGAGAAGGTGAGAGAGGAAGGCGGCTGTGGCAGCAACAGAGGAGGAGGAGGGAGCCTTGTGACCGGGACTGCTCTGTGCCTTGAGGCGCTGTGACAAACCCGTCCAGGACTAAACGCACACGCGCACTGATGCGTGGAAAGTCGGCAAAAGATGAATAAGTCCTGTGGATGGTGTTAAGGTCAATTTCCCGATTGTGATGCTGTATTATAGTCATACCAGATGCTCCCACACGGGGGGGGGGGGGGGGGGGCGGGGAGACAGACTGCCGCCCAGGGACCACTCACTCGTCTCGCCTCATTTCGCTCCTATAACCGGGATCTCTGTGCCATCGGGAGCTTTCTAGTCACAGGCTGTTTTTTAATAACGTCAGGCTTCAGGGAAGGAAGGAAGGAAGGAAGGAAGGAAGGAAGGAAGGAAGGAAGGAAGGGAGGGAGGGAGGGAGGGAGGGAGGGAGGGAGGGAGGGAGGGAGGGAGGGAGGGAGGGAGGAAGGAAGAGAGAAAGGAAGAGAGAGAGAGAGGGAGGGAGGGAGGGAGGGAGGGGAGGAGCAGCCCACCTGCAGAGAGGCAGCCAGCCGGCAGGGTGGGAGCACGGGCTGCGCCGGGGCGGGGGTGACAGCGGTCGGGCCCCTCACCCCCGCGTCCGCGCCCCCTTCACACCCTGCACTTTCCTGGGGGAGGAGCGACGCACCGGCCGGGACGGGCCGAGCGGGGATGACGCGGCGGGGCCCGGGGCAGGTGGCTCTGGCGGCAGGTGCCCCGAGCGGCCACACCGCGGCGACAGCTCCGCGGCCACCCAGGCCCGGGGGACCCGCGCCGCCCAGGTCACTCGGCCTTCGTCCCGGCGGCGCGGGGACACCTGAACAGCGAGGTCGGAGCGACCGCGGCCTGGAGGAGCGGCGGGGAGAAGCGCGCGGGCGGGGCGCGGCGCGACTCAGGTGCGGGCGCCCCCGCCCCCCCCGGGGCCGCGGAGTCGGGTCCCTGCGCGGGGGCGCGGGGGCGCGGCGGCCGCTTCCAGGGGGTGGGGGGTGGGGATGCTGAGTCACGGATCTGTCACCGCCGCTCACCTCTCCCCGGCCCTCCGGGGGCTAAAGCAAAAGCGAAAGCGAATGCGCCTCGCGGGGCGGCCGGTCCCGGGAGCGGCGCCCGCCACCGCGTCCGCGGCGCTCGCGCATCTGCGCGGGGCCGATGGGGCGGACGGGGCGGACGGGGCGGATGGGGCGGATGGTGCCGCCGCTCCGGGGCCGCCGGCTCCCCGCGCTCCCCGCGCTGCTGCTGCTGCTGCTGCTGCTGGTGCTGCCGCCGCTCCGGCCCGCGACGCCGGGTAGGGAGAGGCGGCGCCCCCCGGCGGGAGGGGAGGGCGGGAGGGCGCGGGCGCGGGGACACGTGCAGGCGGGCGCGAGAGGGCAGCGCCCCGAGGCGACCCGCCCCGCTCGCGGCCGCCCGGGGCCGGGCTCTGAACGCGCAGGCTTCCCACATCCCCGAGGCGGAGGTTAGGAGCGGGGTCGGCGGGGGGGGGGGGGGGGGCGGGGGCAGGACGGGGTGGCAGCGCGTTGGGCAGCTGGCCCCCCGGAGCGACCTGCAAACAGCCCCGAGGTCTTCAGCAGCAGGAAACCCGGGAAGGGCGCGGGCGCGGGCGCGGTGGGGCGGCCTGCAGCGCGGGCACTCGGGCGACGGGGAAGAAATAGTCGGTGATGGCTTGGAGTACCCCACACGGACGTAGGGCGCGGAGGTGTAATCTCGGCAGGAAGAACCCAGTGAGTGACGCATAGGTTTTCATCCCGGGATGCTGGAGAGGAGGGAGGAGAAAGAATAGATGGTCCGGCTTTAACAGGGAGCCAGCCCTCCGAGGCTCTGCAGAAAGCTAGGAACCCTCTCCCCAGAAAAATGCATGAATGCACATGCGTATAAGCCAGGGCCCCATGAAAGGCCATCCATAGATTCTCCAAGAGTTAGTTTACTCAGTGATCTGTGTGTGTGTGTGTGTGTGTGTGTGTGTGTTAAGGCAAGACTCCCAATAATTTGCATTCAGTCCCGTGGATCTGTCCACCTAATACCTAGCACTTGATCAGACCCATCCATCCACATCTGCCACCAGCTGGCTTGGTGTGAATCCTGCAGCCCTGCAGTGTTTCATGAAATTTTATTTTCTCGAGACTATGGATTTTCTCCCACAACTGAGAAAACTCAGCAGAGGGTGAGTTCTAGTTCCTCCACATCTTTGTCAGCACTTGGGTAGGATCAGTCTTTTTTTTTTTCCCCCTGACTGCTGTTGGTGACCTGGTCACCATCTCATCTCCCTACAGTTCCTAGGGAGAACTCTCATCCTTTCATCTCCCTAGCCAGTGTGCAGAGTAGCCAGGCGACTGGGGTAGTGCTCCCAGCACAGTGAGAAAGTGAGATGCAGCGTTAGTCAGGGCCCCACGAGTGCAGAGGGCACTGCAGGTGAGAGCTCCAAAGTTCATTGACATTCCCTCGTGTTTGACCTCACAACGGTACTGCTGCCTTTCTGCAGCTCCCGCTGTTTCTCAGTGTTTCTAGGGCAGGTTTGGTGACATAGAGTAGATAATAAACTTCATACATTTAATTACATGATAAGTTTAGAGGTAAATGTATACACTCAGGAACCATCGTGATCAAGAAGGTAAATATAAACATCACCACCAAATGTCTCCTCTTGTCTTCCATAACCTTTGCCTCCCGCCCAACGCCCAACACTATCCCCCCAGGCCACCACCATGGGCTTTTAGTCACTTTGACTTGTTGCCATTTCTAGAATGTTATATAAATGAAGCCGTACAATATGTACTCTTTCATTGTCTGGCTACTTTTATGCATAGTTACTGTTCTGAGAATTCCCCCTTCATCTTCTAATTTGTGTCAATAGCTTGTTCTTTATTATTGCTGAGAAGTATTTCATTGCATGGGTACCATACTGTTTGTTTATCCACTCGGTTGTTACTAAACATCTGGGTTGTTTCTGGTTTGGGCTGTTACATCGAAAGCTGTTATGATCATTCACTAATCGGTTTTGTGTGGACACAGGCTTTCATGTCTTTTGGGTAGAGAAAATGGGAGCAGGATGGCTGAATCATATGACATGTATGTGTTTAATTTTTACATTCCCACCAGCAGGGGGTGAGTTCTAGTTTCTCCACATCTTTATCAGCACTTGGTAGGATCAGTCTTTTTTTTTTTCCTTGAAAAAAGTTTTCCACCTTTTTGAGATATAATATACATATAAGATTAAGATGTACAATACGTACAACATGAGGATCTGATATATGTACATCTTGTGACATGATTACCACATTCATCGCCTCACACATTTACCAAAGTGTGTGTGTGTGTGTGTGTGTGTGTGTGTGTGTGGTCAGTCTCTTCAATTGTACCCATTCTAATAGGTGTGTAGTGGACTGTCATATTTTTTTCTCATAGTTTTTAACTTTCATCTCCCTAATAACCAATGATGTTGAGCATCTTTTCATGTGCTTATTTGCCATCAGTATTCTTTGGTAAAGTGCGTGGTTAAAACTTTTGCCCTTTAAATATTGAGTTGTCAAATTATGATTGAGTTTGGAGAGTTCTTTATATATTTTAGATACAAGACCTTTATCAGATATAATTTGGAAACATTTTCTCAGAGTCTGTGGCTTGTCTTTTCATTCTCTTAACAGTGTCTGATTAACAGAAAGTTTTAATTTTGATGAAGTTCAGTTTATTTCTCTTAGGTATTATGTTTTCAGTGTCATCTTTAAGAAATCTTTGCCTAACTTAAGGTTGCAAAGGTTTTCTTGTAGAGTTTTCATAGTGTTAAGGCTTTACGTTTATGTCTGTGATTCATTTTGAGTTAATTTTTTATATAATGTAAAGTGTGGATTGAAAGTTCCATATTTGCTTGGTTTCAGGGTTTTATTGCGTAGGGATATCCAATTGTTCCATCACTATTTGTTGAAAAGATGATCTTAACCGAATTGCTCTTACACCTACTTTGAACATCAAATGTTCATAGAAGTGTTGGTTGCTGTAGCCAGAATATCATCGGTCTGATTATATTTCTCTACATTAGCAATAAGCAATTGGAAATTGAAATTTAAAAATATATACATCACTTGCAATAGCATCAAAAAGTATGAACCGCTTATGGATAAACGGACAAAAGATGAGAAAGACCGATGCGTTCAAAACCACAAACCACTGCTGAGAGAAATTAAAGCAGACCTAAACAAATGGAGACACATACCTCTCGGACTGGACAAATCAATTAGGTAACGATTCCAACCCCCAAGTCAAAATTTCAGTAGGCTTTCATGCAAAAATTTAAAAAATGATTCCAAAATTTGCTTGGAAATGAATTAAGACCTGGTATAGCCCAAACAACTTTGAAAAACAACGTTATCTAAGTTGGAGAAATAACACTTCTGATTTTGAGACTTATTATAAGGTTACAGTACTCAAGACAATGTAGTATTAGGGTAAAGAGGAACAGAGGGCTAACAGAATAGTCTGTGCCTAATGTTTTTAAATGAGCTTGGAAGGGAAGTGGATACAAATTATCCAATTTGCTACCTGGTACTATGATCCTGATCAGAAATTATAGAGAGAAGCCCCTTCCTTATCACCAGTGGAACAAAGAATATATAGTCTCCGATATGTTCCTGCTAGTTTACAGTGCTAACAGACACAGAAAATTGCTGTTATCTGTTCTTAGTAAAAAGGCATTATTTGGAGGGGAAATCCATCATTTTAGGCAAGAAGTAATTTACTGCTTAAAGATCCTCACAGGGATCCCTGGGTGGCGCAGCGGTTTGGCGCCTGCCTTTGGCCCAGGGCGTGATCCTGGAGACCCGGGATCGAATCCCACATCGGGCTCCCGGTGCATGGAGCCTGCTTCTCCCTCTGCCTATGTCTCTGCCTCTCTCTCTTTCTCTCTCTGTGACTATCATAAATAAATAAAAATTAAAAAAAAGCTTTTAAAAAAAAAAAAAAAAAAAAAAAAAAAAAAAAGATCCTCACAGCCTGAAAGGCTGCAGACGATTTTCCAAAAGCAGCTGGAATGGATGAGGATTTGTTTGAAGAGAAGTATACCTCACCAACTTGGATTTCGTTATACAGGGTGTTTAGTACAGTTGGGGTGGCTTTACAATTTTTGGGTCTTTAAACATTTTAAAAGCCATTTTTCAGAATTCTGGGGAGTTTTGCTCAAACTCTTCATTTTTTATTTCAGATCAGTTTTATCTAGTTATTATTGTTTTATGCTGCTACTTATAGCAAAAAAAATAATAAAAACTTAAATGCACAAAATATGGCATTTATGGAAATCAACCTAAATGTTCAGTAGTGGAGGACTGCATAAATAAATGCAGTTGCTTTCAAATAATATGCATCATATTACTCAGCTTTTACTAGAAGATCTAGAAGTAGCTATCATTTAGTAGGGAGATACTATGGGGTGTGTGTGTGTCTGTGTCTGTGTGTGTGTGTGTGTAGTTGTCAACCTTTTCTTATTTTTCTGTCATAATTGAAATTGCCTATGTAAAAAGCAAATAAAACTATAAAAGAAGTAGCTCAAAAAAGATATAGAATTTGAGGTTTTTTTTCAGATTCATTTTTAACTAATTAGAGCTGATCTTGTTTGGCAATGTTTTCATGACTTTATAAATTTTGCAAATTGGAATTGAGTTATAGAACTATAAAGTCACCATATATAATATTTGTGCATACCTTTTTTACATTTTATAATATTTTATAAATACATTTTACAATATTTACAACTTGTTTAAACAGTTCCTTATTGCTAGAACTGTGTAATCTGGATAGTTAGGTTGTTTCAAAATGTCTGATGTTCTAAAAAGTAGGAACAACTGGATAAAAATAAACTAAATAGAGCAAAAAGGGCAAGGGAAAACTTCTCAGAGTCTAAAAAAGTGGTATAAATGCTTCTGGGGATATTCTTTACCAATCAAATCATTACTTTGACTAACTTCTTAATTTCTTTTGGGCTAAGTCACTTTTGCCAAATTGATTTTACCAAATAGTGTGTAACTGTGTAAATAAATGTATAAAATTCCCTAGTATATACGCTTGAATTCATATCCCTGTTACTTATTACACATGGTTGATGTTATTTGAATGTTTTCTACTAAGAAAGACTTGATTTTCTTCGGAGCAGTAGGGAGCCACTGAGGGTCTCTGGGCCAGAGGGACACTACTGGACCTGCATGGTGGAAAGATTACTCTTCTAAATAATGTGAAGAATAAACCGTAGTCAAGATGGTCTAGAGGCAGGAAGCTAAGTTAGAGACTTTTGCAACAGTTCCAGTA